AGGTCGCGACCGACGTCGCCACCAGCTCGAACAGGGGCGTATAGTCAGCCTTGGCGTTGGCGATCGCACGCGGAGGCTGAAGCAACAGGTCCTTCAAACTGGAGGCGGTGCTGGACGCACCTGCTCGCAAAGAATGGAGGTACGCCCTGAGCTGCTGTCCTAACCAAGCTATGGATATGTGGGCAGGGTATCTGACCTGAGAATGTTTAGCTAAGGCCGAGCGCCAGACCAACTGAGGGCCCAACCCACGAGTGTCAAGCTTGACAGGCAAAGACCCAACCAACGGAATGAGTTCCCTTTCAGCCGTATCAGCCCCCCTTTGGCACAGGGAGCCAAGAAGGGGAGCAGCTAATTGGGGGCGACCTATGTCAACAAGGGCCAGGGCCGAATCGGCCAGAGACTGGACCCCAGACCACACAGGAGGTCTCGGAGAGGGACCGACCACCGCTTCGGCAGGCAAGGGCGGGGGGCACCTGAACGACAGAGCTTTCAGCACAGCCAACCGACCGAAAAACTTAAGGTCGACAGGCATGTGGGGGGGAGAGCTCCGTATCTAAGCGCGTATCAATCCTCTCGATGCCCTTGCTGAGACCTCCAGAGACGACAAAGTAATCGAAGGTGGTGGGAGGCCCCGCAGGGTAGTGGCTGGGCACCTTGGGAAAGACAAGCGCACCTCTGAGCTCCTGGACAAAGCGGGATCCTCCCAAATCGGAAGGTTCCATGTTGAAGTCCGCACCGAGAATCCGGGGTCTCGCAGCCGAGGAGAGGCACAGCCCGAGATCGGAGAGCAGCCCCAAGTTCCTGTCAGACAGCCCCTCATAATGATGCAGGTAGGCAGAGGCAAGGAGCACAGGAACAGACAGCCCCTCAGAATGATGCAGGTAGGCAGGGCGGCGTGCCAGGAAGCCCAAACGAGCACACGACCGCCATGCCAGCACACACCTGGCCTCCAACATCCGAGCAGCCCATCCAGGAGCGCACGAAAATGGCAACACCCCCCGACGTATCCCCAGCCTCCGTGGCCGTGGCGGGCGACCACACACTCTCCAGCCACGGCGGGGACTCCAGGCGCTAGCCTGATCAATATCCCCTGGGGGAATCAGTCGGTGCTCCTGGCAGAGCAAGATGTGCGCGTGACCATGTATATATATATATATATGTATATGTATATACATATACATATATGTATATAAATATGTGTGTGCGTACAAACATACATACATACATGCATACATACATACATACATACATGCATGCATGCATGCATGCATACATACCTACCTACCTACCTACCGACCTACCTACCTACATACATACATGCATACATGCATGCATACATGAATGCATGCATGCATGCATACATACATGCACACATGCATACATACATACATACATACACGCATGCATACATACATACAGACAGACAGACAGACAGACATGCATACATGCATACATACACACATACATACATACAGACAGACATACATACATACAGGCAGACAGACACAGGCATAACATGGCATGACATAACATACCATATCATGACATAACGTAACATAACATAACATATCATCGCATCACATAACATCACACATCACATATCATAGCATAACATACCAGATCATAATATAACATACATAACATAGCATAACACAACATGTTATAATACCACATAACATAACACATGAAAATGTGTTGGCCCCAGGGGGGCCAGATATGTCCATGTCCACCGCCTGCCGAGGTCCTGGAAGATTGATCCCGCACGCGGAGGTTATGTACAAATCCACGCTTCGGAGCAGGGGCGGCTCGGGCCGCAGGGCGGGCCTGGGCCAAAACGGCTACGGCCAGCTCCAGAGCTCGTGGGCGAAGAACAGATGCCATACACGCGGCTTCGCAATCTACAGACTGGGCACCCCAAGGATCAAAGCACACGATGACAAGTCGTCACCTTTTTGCCACGTTCAGTTGGGGACTTGGGAGCCCCAAAGTCGGCTTTCGCCCTCACCTGTCTGAAAAATGGCTGCATAATAATGATCAACCGCCGCCAGACCCCAACCAACCAACCATTCTCTACATAGCGTCACCGGTGCTCGTGCGCAGCACGTGTGCGGCCGCTGGCAGCATGTTCCGCCAGGCGACTCTGACCGCACCTATGGCATGGCTATACCCTGCGAGCGCAAGCAAATGCCGACATCTGGCCAAAAATTATTGCAGAGCTTTCTGGATTCCACCCGAGGCCCAAACAGGGTGGTAGCCTAAGACCAACCACCTGTCTGTATTCCTCCGTCCCCCCAGCCCGCGTATGGGGGAGGGAACAGTTGGGCATGCATGTAAAACGCTTAAGAATGATTCCGAAAAGTGGAACTTGCGGAGTCTGCAGAGGAAGGTTGTTTTGGCACCTTCCGCGTCGAGAGCTACGGTGCTGATGCCCCCGAGGCTTCTAATTACCCCTTGGGGCCACCCACTGTGAACATGGGCGGGGTGCGCAGAGGAAGTGCAGAGAGGAGTACTGTACATAGCATTGTCCTTCCATTTTGGGGAACACCGTAGTCGGCGCCCTGCTTTGGAAATGGTGAGCTGCAACATCGGCACGGCCGACCGGGACGCGTCGACAAGCTCCAACTCGAAAGGGTATGAGATGCGCTTCCAAGTCAAAAAGTACTCCCAGAACAAATCCTTACTATCGCACACTATGAAAATGTCATCGCGGAACCGCCCGTAGAAGCGGATCGCATGCCTTGCAAGCACGTTTGGGTGCGCCGCCCAGCGGTCCTCGCTACTGGCCGCGAGCACGGCGTCAGCGAGAGGGCCAGAGTGGGAGAGCCCCATGCCGCTGCCTCTCCGCACGTGCCACGCTTTGTCAGGAATCAGGTCGGACACGACAAACTGATTCCACAGGAGGAAGTCGCTCACGTCGTTGATCACACTGGACGCGTACCGGTCCTCGCCAGCGATCTTCGCAGCCAAGGGCGCGAGCTCACCCACTTCTCCAGACATGTAGAACTGCTTTATGTCAATGCGTACGAGCCACGAGTCCTCCGTCACGGCCACGTCCCGCAGCCGTTGGACCAGCTCCTGCGCGCTGTTTAGGATGTGGCCCCGCACCGCCAAACAAGTAGATAAGAACTCGCCCAACCAGATGCTGAGGCCTAGGAACATGTGCCCGCAGGCTGCGTGTAGGTTTCTGTGCTTCACTGCCCCTGCCGCCTTGTGCGTTTTGCACGTGATCTGCAGCTTGCACGTGATGTGGGACCCTGTGAACAACGACCGCCTGAGAGACTTCCCAAACTCGCTGTACTGCTCCCCGAACCTGCCGCACAGGAGCGCTTGGACGCGATTGCATAACCGTGGATATGCCTGACACAGTGGGTTCACCTGCCTGCTGATGTGTTCCACTGGGACCTCCGCGTACGTGGGGGCAACTAGGATGCTGACGTGGACACGTTTGCAAACGTCGACTGTTTCCAAAACGTACCCTGCTTCCTTATCGCACGGGATGGCGACGAATCGTTCCCTCAACAATTTCAGCCCGACGCGCGTGGCGGGAATCATATTGCAGAAGGCGCGGTTGTGTGCGTGCGCCCCCAGGCACTTATCAGCTGCTGCGTCGATGCACCTGTAGAGCTCGTTCAACCATGCATCCAAGGCTGGATCAATTCTGTGCGGGCACGGGGCTGTTTCTGGTCGCGGGTATCGAACGCCCACGCTGGGCCTAGCCCCCCGCAAGTGCCATGACCACCGTACTTTACGACAAAATTGCATTACGTCCTTCATCAAATTCGTTTTCGAAGGAAGCGACCGACCAACCCATCTGTGCTTGGGATGGTACCGCCCCAGGACCCAAGCAATGGGCCACGGAACGTCGCCTTCTTCCAATTCGTGCACCATAAGATTGTCGATGTCGTATAGCCTGATGCTGTTTACCACTTGGTCCATTGAGATGAGGAAGTCCCAGTCCCTGATCGTGGCGCCCTCCATGAGTTCCACGACTTCTCGCCCTGGTAGCTTCTTCCTCTTGAGTTGGCTCCTGGCCGCGAGCCGCCACTGCCGCCTCCTTTCGGCTTTGGCCGCTTGCCTCCGCCTCGAAACCAATTCCTGTGGTTTTCGGTCGAAAGTCCTTTGCCAAGTGGCTTGCCGCCGCCTTTCGGTCGGTAGGCGCCCTTGCCACCGCCTTGGCCCCCCTTCTTGCCGCCTTTGGTCTTGCCCTTGGCCCTCGCGTTGCCTGCAGCTGTCCCCTGCCCCTGGGCGCCCCCAGGGGCTGGGCCGTTGTTTGCCAAGGTCTGCACGAAGGCTGAGGCGGCATCAGCTCCAGCTGGCCGTGCTGGACCGCCCTGGGCCTCCACATCCATGTCGCCCTTCTCGTCGAGCTTTGCGTCCACGATTGCGGTGACCGCTTCCTTGAGGCTGGACACCGGATCCTTGAGCATAGCGGCCTGCTTCTTCTTCTCCTCGTCACGTTTTCTCTGCTCGTCCACCTTCCTTTTGTCATTCACCTCCTTTCTGATGCGAGTGATCAGCTCGGAATACTTGCTTTCGAGCTTCTCCTGGAAGACGCCGTGGTCCGGCAACCTTTGGATAGGGTCTTCTAGGCCCAGGCCGTCCACAGACTCGGGGGTGCACTTCACCTTGACCAGCTCTACGAATGCCGCCTTCGTGGCACGCGCCCTCACGCGCTCCAAGTTTTCAGTCAAAGCGGCAAGCTGAATCTGGCGAAGATGCACAGTGCAAGCATGATGAATGATGGCCATGGCCTCGCGTCTGGAAGTTCCGCGGGCTAAGCCGATTTCGATGATCTGCTCTGCATCCTTGCTGCCATTGTGGGGGTGGTCCAACTCCTCTAGCTCCTGCTGGCTGCGGAAAAAAGGTCGAACTCCAGGAGGATAGCGCCTTACGCCGTCCTTGAGCTCGTTTACCAGTCGGTCCTCGTCAGCGACGCGCTTCTGGGCCTTGACGAACTTGGTAACCTCCTTTTCGAAGGCGTTGCACGCTACGTCGATGGCCTTGCAGATGCCCTCCAGCAGCTTCTTTACCACCGCCGCCAGGGTCACGCCAGGCGGGTGCTGGCCGCCAGCGGGTGCAGTACTCCCAGCGGCATCCGCCGCCTGTGGAGGGGACTGCAATGGCTGCCGGGCACTGCTTCCAGCCTGGCCCACCATCATCTGCATGAACTGCGTCATTGTGTTCATTGCCATTTGTAAGCCTTGGTTCTGAATCTCGAGCTGCCTTCTCATAAGTTTCAGCTGCTCGTTCACCGGGTCAGGGGTGTTGGTGCCGTTGTTCTCGTCCTCCCGTCGGCCGGGAGTCCTGCTTCTCTCTCTTTCTCTTCCGGGAGGTCCTGAAGCCAGCTCGGCGCTCACCGCCGCGAACGAGATGTTCGTGCGGTCCGCCATTGCTGACATAGAGTGCCGCACCTGGGGTAGTAGTTTTGGATCCGAACCTCTACAGACTGGGCACCCCAAGGATCAAAGCACACGATGACAAGTCGTCACCTTTTTGCCACGTTCAGTTGGGGACTTGGGAGCCCCAAAGTCGGCTTTCGCCCTCACCTGTCTGAAAAATGGCTGCATAATAATGATGATGATGATGACAGCCCCTCAGAATGATGCAGGTAGGCAGGGCGGCGTGCCAGGAAGCCCAAACGAGCACACGACCGCCATGCCAGCACACACCTGGCCTCCAACATCCGAGCAGCCCATCCAGGAGCGCACGAAAATGGCAACACCCCCCGACGTATCCCCAGCCTCCGTGGCCGTGGCGGGCGACCACACACTCTCCAGCCACGGCGGAGACTCCAGGCGCTAGCCTGATCAATATCCCCTGGGGGAATCAGTCGGTGCTCCTGGCAGAGCAAGATGTGCGCGTGACCATGTATATATATCTATATCTATATATATGTATACATTTATATATATGTGTGTACAAGCATACATACATGCATACCTACATACATACATACATGCATGCATGCATGCATACATACATATATACCTACCTACCTACCTACCTACCTACCTACCTACCTACCGACCTACCTACCTACATACATACATACATGCATACATGCATGCATACATGAATGCATGCATGCATACATACATGCACACATGCATACATACATACATACATACATACATACATACATACATACATACATACATACATACATACATACACGCATGCATACATACATACAGACAGACAGACAGACATGCATACATGCATACATACACACATACATACATACAGACAGACATACATACAGGCAGACAGACATAGGTATAACATGGTATGACATAACATACCATAGCATGACATAACGTAGCATAACATAACATGTCATCACATCACATAACATCACACATCACATATCATAGCATAACATACCATATCATAATATAACATACCTAACATAGTATAACACAACATGATATAAGATAACATAACACATGAAAATATGTTGGCCCCAGGGGGGCCAGATATGTCCATGTCCACCGCCTGCCGAGGTCCTGGAAGATTGATCCCGCATGCGGAGGTTATGTACAAATCCACGCTTCGGAGCAGGGGCGGCTCGGGCCGCAGGGCGGGCCTGGGCCAAAACGGCTACGGCCAGCTCCAGAGCTCGTGGGCGAAGAACAGATGCCATACACGCGGCTTCGCAATCAGGGCCCCTGGGCCGCGACCCCGCGGATGCGGGGCGTTTTCGTTGCGGATGCCCAGCGCGGAACGTATCCGAGAGGGGCCGGCCAGGGATATGTTCGCCGCTCGTGAAGAGACCCTCGAGTCGCGGAAAAGACACGATGGAAGATTTTGATCTCTTCACAGCGGGGGCCCTCGCGTGTGATCTTCAGAAAAAAAACGACTCAGGATGAAAAGCCGGTCCTGGGGAATGGGTCGAGACTTCTGGGGGCCCACCCTGTGAACAAATCACGACGTCGGGAGCCTGGGACGAGTCGTCGTCGTCGGTGTAACAGTGTAGGAACAAGGCTAGACGTTGTGGGGGCCCACGCTTTAGGTGTAGGGACAAGATGTGGGAAGAGTCGTCGTCGGTGTAGGAACATGGGGTCGTTACCGTCACGTAGGCGTCGGTGTAGGACGAGGCCAGGCCTGGGACAAGATCGGACAGGGGCAATCGCGGATCTCTGAGATCCGGCGGCTCTGGGGTATGTCTCGGGCGCCGCGGCCGTGCCGAAGCGCTCCGGACCGCTACGAGAGCTTTCCGGGCCGCTCTGGGGCGACTCCTCCTGGTCCTGTAGGCCCGCCCGCCGGTGCCACTGCCCACGCGCCCCCTCCCAGCGCCTCACTGGCGCACTGCAGCGGCGGCATCTCCCTCGGAAGGCTCCCTGGAGGCACGCCTGCTGGGACTAGCCCGAGGAGGAAGGGGGGGAGTAGCAAGCGTCCCCAGGAGCCGCGTCCGCCACGCCCAACCAAGCCACCCAACCCGTTCGCCCCACCCTGCACTGCGCAGCCGCCCACCCCTCGTCCCAACGGACACCACCCCACAGAGCCATGACGCCGTGCACCAAGTGAGCCACACGCTAGGAGAAAGAGCAGGAGGAGGAGGAGGAGGAGGAGGAGGAGGAGGAGGAGGAAGAGTAGAAGGAGTAGGGAGGAGGAGGAGGAGGAGGAGGAGGAGCAGGAAGAGGAAGAAGACGAAGAAGAAGAAAAAGAAGAAGAAGAAGAAGAAGAGGATCTTGCCTCCCCTTCCCTCCCTCCCCACCGCCCCACACCGGCACGTCCCCGCCATAAAGGCTCGGGCCGCCCGAGTCCAGAACCGCCTGCGTCTAGAGAGGAAAAGGGGGAGGAGGAGGAGGAGGAGGAGGAGGAGGAGGAGGAGGAGGAGGAGGAGGAGGAGGAGGAGGAGGAGAAGGAGGAGGAGGAGGAGGAGGAGGAGGAGCGATCTGAAGGAATTGATGAGACGGGGCATGCCTGTGCCCCCTGCCACGCAGGGAGGGGGGGCCCGCCCGCGCACCTGGGGGGAGTAAACCCAGCCCAGCTGGAGCGAAAAGCAGACCGGCCCGAAGGCCTCCAGAGGCCACAGCCCCAAAGGGCCGAGCGAAAACGAGGGAACCCGAGGGCCCGAGGAAGAAAACCGCGCTTTCGGGGCCCCCGATGGGGCCCCGACAGCAATGGGGCCCCGACAGCACGGAGGCGGCTGGCAGAACCCACCCCGAGGACTGGGATGTCCCAGTCCAGCCTCTCGTCAAACGAGTCGCTCTCCACCCGAGGCGAGGGAGTTCGACAGACGAGTCGAAGAGGCCCAGCTCCAGGCCGGACGCGTTCAGCACGACATGGAGCCAGACTCCGCGCAGGCACCTGCCGAAGTTCTGCAGCTAGCCACCTTCGAGGAGAGCCTTGGCCATCTCGATGGAGACCCTCGTGCTCTCTGCGTCCCCGTTGTGGAGATTCTGCGTGCCGTGCTTGATGACCTGGAGGAAGCGCTCCTTGAGCTCACTCTCGTTGCTGTCCTCCCCTGTCGTGTCCAAAACCGCGGCGCCCGAATCCGAGAGGCCCTCATCAAGACTCTCATGGTCAAACCCCTCGCCATAGTCGTTGGAGTGCGCATCACCGCCAGCGCGATCGTCGGCAGCCTTCGTGTGCGCAAAACTGCCAGCACCACTGCCAGCAGCATCGCCTTGCACATCGGGCTTAACCCCATCGCCGATGTAGTAGTGCTGAGTCACTACGAAGTCCACCTTCGCTTCTTCGACGTTGCATCCATCTCCTGGGCGGCCTGCCACACCGCCCTTCGCTCCCTCTGCTGCTTGTGCTGATGGATCGCCGTGGACACAGGGGCCTCCTCCAGGCAGCTGCGGCAGTAGGTGTTGTAGACGAGGTTTACCTCCCGCCATGCCTGGCACCTCCATTTTTGACGTAGAAGATCGTGCGCTGCGGACTCTCCTTCGTCGGCCTCCATGGGACCTTGGGAGCCTTGGTCTGCGCCGTCTCCGTCACGTCCGACTCGCAATTGGTGTCCTGGATGGTCTTCGTCGCAGCCTCCGCGTCCCTGGGGTTCTCCTGAGCCTCCGGACGCATTGGCATCTTCATCGGGCGCGGCGCGTACTCGGATGAGATCGCTGTCCTGGTAGTAGTACTCCACGCGGGTCGTCTTCTTCACCTTCTGGCAGTCGGCCTCGTGCGTCACACGGTTCATGCCAACCCCCGTCAGCTTGGTGGTCATGGCTGGCCCCTCGATCGCCAGAGCCTCCTCCATCAAGCCGTACTCCTGGTCCTGCGATCCCTCCGCCTCCATGCGTTTCCTGCCCAGGTCCGACACGACCCTCTTGCTGTTCTTGCGAATCTGCACCTCCGCCTCGAAGACCATCCTGTTGAACAGACGCTCCGCCTCCATGTTGCCGCCAGCGAGGTTCGAAGTCAGCCTCGACGAGCACGCCGACCAACTCGGTCGTGGCGACCTTGTTGCACCCGCGCTCGAACTTGCCTATCGCCTCGCCGAGGTCCTCGCCGAGCAGGTTGCACAGAATGAGGAGCCGCATCACGGCAACATGGCCCGCGGCGGCTGCGCGGCTCCGAAGCGCGCCGCCCGTCTGCCCCCGCTCCCGGGGACCGAGCCGCTTGAGCCAAAACGGCTACGGAGGCGGAGGAGGAGGAGGAGGAGGAGGAGGAGGATGAGGAGGAGGAGGAGGAGGAGGAGGAGGAGCGGAGGAGCGGAGGAGGATTGAAGGGAGGCACGCGAGCAGGGCGCGGCCATCGGCCCTCCGCACTCCCCTCGCCACATGGGCTTGGAGGCGGGCTGCGGTAACAGGAGGCGATATTGCAGGTCACGATTAGAGGTCAGTGGAGGAGGAGGGGGAGGAGAAGGAGGAGGGGCCCAGTGGGGGAGGAGGGGGAGGAGGGGGAGGAGGGGGAGGAGAAGGAGGAAGACGCGGACCGTCGCGCCCCCTGCAACGGCACGAATCCCGGGCAGGGGGACCAGTTCGAGAAGCGGCACAGGGGCCCCATCTGCCACCGCACACGCCCATACTAAGCACGGAGGGCCCCGCTTACCTGCACCCCGACCGAACATGCAAGCAGAGGCCCACACGCGGGGCCAGCAGACGGGGAAGGGGCACACAGGGGAACGCCTGCTGCGCACCGGGGGCACGCAAGCAACCACGAGGCGGCAGTGGGGCCTACGTGGACCAGGCGAGCTCAGATGTTGCTCAGCTCCGCGAAGATCCGCCGACGCGAATACAGCTGAAGGCCCGCGAGGCACGCGGCGTCGTGGTCGGGGCGGGACGAGCACGTCCGCGTGTTCGCTCGCCACCAGGCCCACTGCCAGCGCGGCCTCCGCAAACAGCAGGGCGAGGCCCACCCTATCTGCTCCATCCGCCGCGGGCGCCGCCATCGCCGCCGCCTTGCCCGCAGGCAGAGCCAAAGGCATCGCCGCAGGCTCGTCGGCCAAGGAACCGATCGTGCCGTTTTCACGCCATATCCAGTCGAGAGCGGCGGGCGCAACAGCGCCAGCCGCCTGCCGTGCCGCACGGCGCTGGCGGCGGCGCCGAAGCTTCGCGGCACCCGCCCCAGGGTCAGCAGCCGCCGG